ATAAGTTAGCTAATTCCAACTTAGCTTTCCTTATAAAGCTCTCTTTTCTTTCTTTTTACTTTCTCAAATAAAGATCTCAACTTTCAGTAAAATGCCAAGTATGTCTGCAAAGAATGCTTAATAAAACATAGCTATAAGTTTTTACGAAATATTGAGTGAATAGGAATAACATTTTATTCATACATTTGATAGAAGAATAATTAATGAAGTCTAAAGAAATTACTAAAGAATGTTCCTTTGGTGTTGCCTCTTAGAAGGAAATCATATCCTTTTTTATCGACTAATTGCATGAAACAAAAAAATTCTTCATTACTTACTAATTGTCATCTGTGTTTGGTATGGTATTTCTCTTATTCGATTGGTAAAAACTTTTGGAAAATATTTTCTTTAGGAAAGAAAGCTTCTTGGAACTAAGGAAAATGACTTTTATTGTAAAAAGTAGGAAACGAGTCCCATGGATTTCTCCCTACTCTCATTATTTGCTCCCCCCCTCCCCCCCCCTCCCCCCAAAATCCTATTCCAAACCTCATCCCCTACTCAATCCTGCCTCATAGTTTTATAATTTTATCTTAGATACGACAACAACATACCCAGTGGAATCCCACAGGTGGGTCCGGGAGGGTAGAGTGTTTAGCTTTTAGTATTCGGGGATACGGACACCCGAGTCCAAGCAACGTAGATCTAACTGGTCAAAGTATTTAGGGGCAATATTAGGTACGTGCTGACAGTGATGCAATTCCTTTATTGGCACATGCTCTGTTATTAGGTTTTTGCCTTTCTTGAAATTTTCTATTCTTTGGCATGAATGTGAAAAGAAAAAATACAAACTAGAGTCTGTCTGGGCCTAATCGACCTTTATTTTTCCCTTTCACTTTAAGCCTAATATTTGCTGTTACAACATAAGACAAAATTTGCTATATTGTTTATCTGTGTGTATGCAGGGGATACAAACGTTTCTTTAGACGAGCTTTACTTGAGAATTCAGATTATCTCAAGGATGATTGTTTGAAAATCAACTGTACTGTGGGAGTTGTTCGTTCTACAATTGATATCGCGAGCTTACAGCCAATCCAGGTTCCAGGTTCTGATATGGGATCACACTTTGGAATGCTATTAGAGAATATGGAAGGCACTGATGTTGTTTTCAGCGTGGCTGGTGAAAAATTTCATGCCCATAAGCTGGTATTAACTGCTCGTTCTCCTGTATTTCGCACTGAATTGTTTGATGAACTGATGGGCGATAAGCAGGAGATTGTTGTCACAGATATGGAACCCAGGGTCTTTAAAGTGAGCATCAATTTCATTTTTCATTTTTACTTTGTTAATCATTTTATTTTAAATTGGTTCTTGTGCTGTCGAAGAAGACTGAATTTCTCATTGCTTCAAATAGTGGCATTGCTCCATCTCTCTTGCTGTATTTGTTTCTCCAAAGTAACTTCCGTGTTTTGGCTGAAAAAGATTAAAAACTTCAGAAAAAACATGAAATTCTCACTCACCCTTCATTTGATATATCTATTCTTGTGGCACAAAACAGGCTATGTTGCACTTCATATACAGAGATTCTCTTGTAGATGAAGAGATAGAAGATACTAGTTCTTCTTCTATTCCTTCTGTGACCGATACATTGACAGCAAAATTGCTAGCAGCAGCCGATCGGTATGAATTAACAAGACTCAGGCGTGTGTGCGAATCTCATCTTTGCAAAGATATCTCGGTGAACTCTGTTTCCAGAACTCTTGCTTTAGCTGACCGTTACCATGCCACGGAACTCAAAGCAGTTTGCCTTAGGTTTGCTGCTGAAAATCTTGCAGGTACAAGAGATATTATTATTGCAACTTGTCCATATTTTATAGTGATTTCTGCAGTTTTCCTGAACTGTTTCGGTGAAACTAGTGCATTTTCCTTGTCTTGGATTGCAATGAATGAAAACAGGTGGTTTGTTTAGCATGAACATTGTGCATTTGCCTCGTCATTTGTGTCCCCCCCCCTTTCCAGAACCTATTCAGTAGGGCATTATGCGCTTCTTTCCTGAGGCTGACCATATATTTTATGTCTGATAGGACATAAAGGAAATAAGTCTTTCTTCTTTTATTGAGAATGTTCTTTTTTTTTTTACTCTTCTCATGGAAAAATACTGAAAATTGAGAAGTGCAGCTGCCAGGTTGAATAAGAGCATTTTGCTTAGAACTTTTCTAAATTGAAGCTGCTTTAGAGTATCGTAAACAACAACGACAAACACAGAAGCTCTGCCTGATTACTAGCTAAGGCTTCGTTATATGAATACTCAGTGTCCTTCTCGCTCCATTTGGACCCATTTCATTCCTATATTCAACAGTTTGGGTTCTCTTGCATTGGAGGTTCTCTAGAGATATTTTATTGAAGAGTTAGATTTGGGTGTGAAGGGCTTCTATGATGCATTTCTTTTGTCTTTACCTTCTTGTTTTTTCACGGCCTCCCTTCTTCTTACAAACTTGAAGAGCTGCATGTCATCCCAGATATACATGTGATCAGTACCTTTCTAGACTATGTAACAAGCCCCTAGCAAAAAAGTATCTACTAGTACACTGATGAAGTGGATTGCTATCCTGCCCTGGTGAAGGGATGAGAAATGGTTATAACTTGTGCTCATGATTTTTCATGTACATCTGTGCCACTGATGATAACATGCTGACTTCAATTCCGTTGAACACAATTTCACCCGATTGTGTTATCAACTGAACCTCTATGGAACCATTAATCTCCCTTTGTTGTACCAGCAAGACTACACCCAGCTATGCACCTCCAGTCTTAAGCCACACGCTACATAGCACCAAAAGAAGTCTGACTTAGCTGTCAAACTCCAGCTACCGTTGTTCTGTTGTTAGGTTGCTTTTCTCTAGAGCTGCATTAGGGTGCATCATGGAATGATTTATGATTGGAATCCACTCAAGTGAAATAAACTCTCAATTGGGAAATTAAATGACTTTTCTGCATATGAACATCAAAATAGCAATGAGACTTTTCTCTGAACTGAAAGAGAAATGTACTTGGCTTCACCACTGTAAACCCTTAAAGCAGAAAGCATCAAACACAGCCTCTTATTTCTGCATCAGAAGCTTTGGTGTTCACCAAGTTAGGATGTGTCAAATTTGAATCAAGACACCTAAAAAAATTATAGGTCAATGTATTACTTTCTGGTTTTGTTATTGAGTGCTTTTGGGAGGGGGCACTTGTTGCTAAAATGGGCTTGAAATATTAGAACCTGCTTGGATTGCCTTTTAGTTTTTGACTTATAAGCCAAAAACCAGAAGTTAGAAATTCTGAAATAGCTTTGGTCTTATTTTTGTCATTTTAGCTTAAAACCAAGTGTGCTATAAGCATTTTTTAATTTACCCAAATACTCCAAAAGTGCTTAAAGCACTTGAATAAACCAATTCAAACAGGCTATTATTTGGTGAATGAGCTAAAAATGATGAAATGAATCACAAAGTTTATTTTAATTGCAAACCTGTTTCTCATCAAGTGGGCTCTAAAAGAAATCTCACTAAGTCATGAGGCTAAGTGAGATACTGTTATAGACCTGATCCAAAGAAAAAAAATGACTATGCTATAGAATGTTGCAAAAGAACGTGCATATCCCTTTGGATGTCCAAATGTCTCGAGCATTTGTTTGATGAGTTGCTGCCTCCTTGGGGAGTTTAGCGTCGACTATAACTAGTGTTAAAGTTCATTTGGGGACCTTTCTATTATAAAGGCTACGATATATGGAAAACTGCAGCCTGCAGGTGTGTTTTTGCGTGCTTTTTTTGCACTGCAGTTTCCCTCATCTATTTGTTGGCATGTTTTTGCAGCTGTCATGCAATCAGATGGATTTGAATACCTTAAGGAAAACTGCCCTTCTCTTCAGTCAGAGCTTCTTAAAACCGTTGCTGGTTGTGAGGATGATTGTAGCAGTGGAGGCGGAAAGTCTAGAAGCGTTTGGGCCCAGCTTTCAGATGGTGGTGATACCAATGGCAGGAGGGTAAGGCACCGGACATGATTTTAGATAGAGAACCCTGGTTTTATTGTTCTGTATATTGGAAGATGTGTTGAAAATGTTACAGGAAGGGGTAATTGTACTATAGTTCTCTGAGATACCGAACAAGTCTGTTTGTAATACCAGTCATACTGAGTTTTTGAACGCTTATGCTGACACCAAGTTTGGATTTCAGTATGCTATTTAGGGTTAAGACATGATTCTAGAAAGTCGATACCTTTGCTGTTGCCATTATAGCCTTGATAACTTCAACCCCTGATTGGAGGATTTCTCTTGTTTCTACTTCACAAGTGCTGCATAGTAGAAAAACGATGCTGCCTCTTCTCTGGCTTTGTACCAAATTTCTGAATTCCTAAGCTGGCAAGTAGCCGTTGCTCCGGAACTCTGTAAGACCAACTCTTAGCTACAAATGTTTTACTAGTTGTGTTCTTTACATTCAGTGAAAGTTCAGATCAGAACTGTCATTTAAGCTGTTGAATTAAGACAGGAGCAGCTGATATAGGAAGAAATGAGTTGATTCTTCTGTTGATATATGAGTTGTTTGGTTGATTCTCTTTTCTCATGTCTGTTTGAATAGTGGAAATTATGATTTAGCCTTGAGCATTGCCTTTATTATATTTTTGGTTCTTATGTTATTCAACCCATTTTATCAAATATGTAATTTTGACCCAATGGTTTGGGCTTGAGACTTTCATGTTCGAGGTCTCAAATTCGGAACCCTCTTACCAGCGAGTCTTTTGAATCGAGCTCGTCAAATTGCGCTTGCCTAGGAAAGGTTACCTCTCCTTTGCGGATTTACCTTGTACATTATATCCTTTTTTATATTCTTTTCAAAATCTTGCTTGTGAAATCTCAAAAAATGTATCCTTTTTTATATTCTTTACAAAATCTCGCTTGTGAAATTATATCGATTGCACTCAAAATTTAAGTGAATATACATCATCAAAGGCAAGAATGTGATCAAACTCTTTCGTATCCCGCAGAAAACAGGAACTTAGTGCACCTGGTTACGTTTTATTTCAAATTAATTGCTTCAAGCTAACTAGTGCATCTATGTTCTACTTGTTTTCGATATGAAATATCGAAAACAGCCCACACAGTTGAGATAAGGCAAAGTCCAATTTGATCCCACATTAAAAAAAGTTTCATTGTTTGTCTCTAAATTGCCTTAAACCGAAGCACACAGGAAAATCCAGAAGTGTTTTCATATTACATGCTCAGTGTCATTAGATAACAACCTGTTGTATCGAAAGATGTTACCAAAACTTCAAAACTGTCATAATCTCATTCTTCCTGTTGCTTCCATGGCTGATATGGCATCCCAAGAACAAGAATTGTGTCCATTAGCTTGACCTGATGATGTGGTTACTGCATGGATTTGCTTGCAATCCCAGTCGCAATCATCGAAAAAGCAAGAACCAAAAGGATCTTTCGAAGCCAGATGGTTATTAGCATGCTGTGTCTTGGGACTGGAAAAGATCGTCTGGTTTGATGTGTTGTCTTCATCGTCCAAGGGGGATAGATCGCCAATCTCTTGCTTAATCTCGCCTCCTTCAACATCATGGAAGAATCCAATTATAGTAACACAATAAACTTCAGCTATGCAGATAACCAGTAGTAGTCAGTAAATAAACTGTCCTTACCTGGCATTGTGGCCATTGACGGGAACTCGTGTAATGAACTTTCATTGATAGGGGCGTAGTCACTGAATACTGATGCAGAGAATTGACTTAAAGGAGAGACTGGATGCCCATAAATATCACATCCTTTGAGATCTGGACATGAATTATTGACTGCATTACCAGATGTCTCGTTCCCTTGGTATGAGTTATCATTTGAAGCTTTCATAGTTTGAGATTCATGAAGCACAGCATCCAGTAGACCACTGTTGCTAGGTGACAGACTACCGGATTCACTATGTCCAGCTGGAGGGGATTGAATTAGAATATCAACAGAGTCTAATGAAGGAAGAGCCGAATGAGGTGAACCCCAGTTCTCTGTCTGGTTTTGGAGTGAAGGGAGCTCCAGCTTCATTGCCCATGTGGGCTCTGAAGAGGAGTTGCCATTTAAATAGGCATGGCCGCCCGGAACTATATTTGAGATTGCTCGCTGATCATCATATGTTAAATTATGATTATATGAAGAAAAATCCAAGGGTTGAGCTTGAGCTTGAGCAAGCAAAGAACCGTCATTCTGATATTGCAAGGAGTTGAGGAGATCACCATTTGAACCGGAGAACACAGATTCTGATCCTCGTATACGCTTTGCAGGATAAGTTGTAGAAAGGAAATATGTACTACTATAGGGAGCTCTATGACCCTGGGACAGAAAGTTACTTACAGGATCATTAAGCAAGCTACGAGCAGGAATGTCTGCAAGTTGTGGCGGATACAACAGATGAGTGAGTTCCAATTTTTTGAACTCCACAGCAGGAATCTCAAAATTGTTAATTCCCAAGACATCAGGATTTTGTGCATCTGCGGAGGAGAATGCACCCAATTCCTCATTTTGTTTGTTCTGACTTGCCATGAAAGAAATATCTGCAGGGTAAATTGGCAAGCCTGCACGTTGTCGTCTCTTTATTCTAGTGTTCCAGTAGTTCTTTATCTCATTATCTGTACGGCCAGGCAACTGAAAGGGTAGAAAAGGCATAACAAAAGTTAATATGAATCATATACCACCGATAATTAAACTGAAAAGAAATTTGAAGATATCACATTCCTTACTCAGTAAATTATATCTCCAGCTTTACATTATTTCTCTTTAATTGTTATTGCGATAAGAGTTCAATTATGGTATTTATGCAGAAGCAGGTCTCAGCGTAGAAATGATAGGTTAGTGTATTAAAGAATTTGAACCTTTCCTAGTCCATAATAGACTACTAAAGTATTATGAGCTGTCGGAGAACCTAAAGTAGAAGTTGGACAGCAAATCCGGGACTAAATAAGTGTTGAGACAGATTCTTACAAAGTCATGAGATCTTATTTTAAATGAAAAATACGAAAAGAAGTATAACTGTAAAAGTTCTACAAAGAACAAAAGCACCATTCATTATCGCACAAGATATACATACATATCACCCAAAGGCCAAAGCATACTCATGTGTATCAAAATGATGGAAGAATGTAACTTGGACAATTACAAGTGACAGCAGATAGTATTAGAGAAAATCGTCTTGGGAGAAAGGGGCTCTGATAATATGGCGTTCATTATGTGTAACTTCAGTTCTCACCTTTTAACCAGGCAAACATGTTTCTCTACTTTCCTGATCCTGGTCAAGGGACAATGACCAAGTGTACAATAAATGTTCATATAAATCTGTTTATGTAGATGAGACTTGACGATGCAATACCTCATTGAGCCCGAAACCTTTTACATCTTGGATTCTGGCAACTGTTACAGTGGTATATGAATCTCTAAATCCATGTCATATCTCTTCTGATCAAGGCATAATTAGGTGGATTTTGGACACGCCTTAGTGTCGAACATAGAGCAAAATAAATGCAGCAATAAACTCCAGAGAACATAACTTCAATAGTGAATGACTAGTTCTATTTAAAGAGATACAGAAAAAACAAATGCCAACAAAAGCCTTATTGGCAAAGCTACGCTGGTACAGCCATACACTGTTCACATTATCAACCCCTAATGCCCATTTGGGTAGATGTAATATTTTGGATTTTAAGGCTCAGAACCGTGTGCCCCGAAGTGGTAGCCCTATTATGCTTCTAGGAATTATCACAACAATCTTCATTAAGATTTGAAGTACATGTTTTCATCATTTTGAAGTAAGAAATTTGCATCTCGTAGTACTATTCTTATATTTCTAAATATTCAAGTCTCATTTTCAAAAGATAGATTAATCTGAGTCCACTTCAGTTCTGAAAATGAGTCCAATCGACATACGTAACAGAAACAAGTCTATCAGTTAGGAAATTCATTTCATACTCTGACCAGGATTTAAAGAAAATGCAGCTCTAGTTACATAGCAAATTATTGACATGACTGATGCTATTGATGACTGCCAAAGTTAGCTCAGTTGCTAGTTCTTTGAGAAACAATTCGGTAGGCCCATGTTCAGTCCAACAAGAGGAGCCATCAGGACTGGTTTTAGGAAGTGCTCTTAGTGAGGATCTTACTGTGTTTTTTGTCCGTTGTACATTGTAGTATCATTGAGGATTACAACAACAACAACATACCCAGAGAAATCCCACTAAGTGGGGTCTGGGGAGGGTAGAGTGTCCACAGATCATACCACTACCTTGTGGAGGTAGAGAGGCTGTTTCCGAAAGGCCTCAACTGTATCATTGAGGATTACTTATTATAATTTAACACGATAACACAAAGTTGTAACAAATATAGAGTTTGGGATATCATGATTACAAGCAGGGGGATACCGGAAAGAAAAAAACTAAATCTGATTAAAAGACTGAACAGATTAAGATCCCCTGACACGCAACTGGAAATTTGAAGGATAGCAGAAACTCATAATTAGACGACATACTGATCAAAACAATACTCTTTCTGTCCCAATTCATGTCGGACCCTTTTCATTTTAGTTTATCTCAAATTGAACATCACTTTTCTATATTTTTTTTTAAATAGGTAACTTTGTCACTTTTCTATAATTAGAAACAACTTGACTTTAAAATTCCCCTTTTACGCTTAATGAAATGATTTATAACCACAAAATGTCTAAGATATATTTTAGACCACGAATTTCTAAAGTCATCCTTTCTTAAACTTTTTGCCAAGCCAAACAGTGCAACATAAATTAAGATGGAGGGAGCACTAGTTACTTAATCAAAAAATTTATGTATTACTCCCTCCATGTCATTTTACCTGATGTTGTTTGACTGAGCACAACGTTTACGAATGAAAGACTTTTGAAACTTGAGGAAATTAAGGCATAAAACAAGCCATCGACATCTCTGTAGTACTAAATCATCTCATTAGGGTAAAATAGGAAGTTTAAAGTTAGATTGTTTCTAAATATATAAATATGTCATTCTTTTGGGATAGACTAAAAAAAAGCATACCACATAAAATCTGATAGAGGGAGTAATAAAGAGAGTACTTATCAAGGACTACTGGTCCACAGTAATGGCAGAAACCTCTAACTTATCGGAGGTAGGAAATCCAACTTAAATAGGAACTAATATGAAGTAAAAAACATAAATGACAGATGCCAGTTAAAGACATTTTATTTGAAGATTTTATGAAAAGATAGAGAGATAGTATGAACCTCAACAGCCATGCGTGCCCATTTATTTCCCATTTTAGCATGCAGTTCAACTATCCGCTGCTCTTCCTCTGGTGTGAATGCACCTTTCTTTAAATCTGGTCTCAGGTGATTTGCCCACCGCAAGCGGCAACTTTTACCACAACGAGCAAGTCCTGAATGCCTCTGTACAGCATTCCAGTTCCCCTCACCATGTGTCATTACATAATCCACTAAAATTACATCTTCCGCAGAAGTCCAGGGACCTTTTTTAAGTGGTACACTTTCTCCTAAATCTCCACCGCTAGCTTCATCTGGTGAATCCATGTCAACTTTGGATGTCATCCTTTCCTCGGTTTCACTTTTGATGCTCATATCCTAAAAATGTTCAATAAATAAAAAAATAGCATGTAATTGCCAATAGAAGGAGATAAAATTGTTTGTTATAAAGTCGAGGCAAAAATAAAGGCGATACGTTCCAAGCGAGTGACCTCGTTCACGACGAAGCCAGTCGAGCTTAATATCACAAACTGCCAAAAAAAAACTTGGGATAAGTTGAGAATTTTATTCAGATAACAGCACGACAAAAGGGCTGAACCCACAGAATTTAGAAACGATAGATATAAACCACCAACTTCAGAAAGCAAGTTCACATAGATTCACACAGAATAACATAAAAGATGAAAAGGGATAACTTATTCAGAATTCCCCGGTAAATAATTCAAGGCATCAAACTTCTAAAAACTCACCAGACCCACCTTATCTCATTAACCACGAAATAAAACGACACAATAAGTTATTTGGGGTAAAATGAGATGAAACAGAAGAAGTAAAAGTGTTTATATTATGCAGTCCACAAAGAAATTCACTGAGCTCAATCGTAGTTATATAGAATAACTTTACGATTTGATCAAAGCAAATAAATATATACGTCATATTTGTCGAATAAAATAAAGAAGCTGTTAACTTCTGAAAACAAAAAAATAAAAGAAGATGACTGTAATATTGATCAATCGTTTAGCTTCAAAATCAGCATACCACGAACTCAACGATTTAGCTGCAAAGGAAATCAATTTCGTTGGGGAACCTTTTCCACCAATAGGCTCTTGTTGGTTTCACTATGAAAATTCTGATTAAAATAACATAAGCAAAAATGTACAAAACGTCTTGTTAATTGTATTGCACAGCATAACCTCACACTAAAAGAGTTAAAATACCTACACTTCCTTTATTACATCATGGACCGGGGAAAGCGGAAGCGGAAGCTACACTACTAATGAACTCTCTACCTCCACTATGGAAGGCAGGGAGCTCACCAAGTGACCTAATCCTCAACCACGTCAAAATATTATTTTGAAGTCGAAACTTGAAAATTGAGTTCTTGAAATTGTGATTTTGAAACTTGAAATTGTGTCTGTACATGCATTTTTCTATGATAAAAATTGAAGCTTTACGAGTGGAAGTGAAAATTTTCCCAAAAAATTGGTCTGGAAACTTGAAAATATTTTGAAGATATTTTTTCAAGATCTAGTCAAATTTCATGGCCAAATAAATATATGAAGAAATTTTCAAAATCCATGACCAACACTAGCTTTACTCACACTTGGACTCCTAGTTGAAAATTTACAGACTTCACTAACACTAACAAAATCCCATTCACACCTAGCCCCACCCCCTCCAAACCCCAAAACCAATTTAACACGCCTAATCAAATAAGAAAATCTATCGAAACCTACCTCTCTACCTTCAGAAACGATTCCTAAGAATCGATCTTTCTCTTTGTTGTTCCATAAAACTCCATCCGCGCCACTCTACGTTCAGAAGTGATTCCAAAGAATCGATCTTTCTCTTCGTTGTTCCATAAAACTCCATCCACGCCACTCTACATTCAGAAGTGATTCCAAAGAATCGATCTTTCTCTTCGTTGTTCGATAAAACTTCATCCACAGCACTCTTACCTTCACAAATGATTCCAAAGAATCGATCTTTCTTTTCCTTGTTGTGCTAGAGTGCATACACACCACCCTCCCCACACCCCACTAATGAGATTACAATGGTATATCCTCCTCCTTGTTATCAAAATGAAAATGAACTCCTAAAATTTACAGACTTCACTCACACCAATTACAACCCATTCACACCTCCCCTACCCCCACCCCCCCCACCAAAAAAATACATACAAAAATGCTTAGACAAGTAAAGGCCTAATAAAACCAGGTAACATAACAAGCTCAAACTAAAAAAATTCATCACAAAATCAACATTTAATCATACCTGAATTAAGAAAGCTAGTGAAGCAGTCCAACAAAGTCTTGGGAGCTAGTGACCACTTATCAGTATCTCTCAACAAAAAATCAACAGAATTCAACACAGAGAAAAAAAAACACAGAAATTAAGCTTAAAACTCAATATACAAGAACCCCTTTTAAAAAAAAAAATGAACTCAAAAACTCAAAAACATGAATTATACAATACCCAAGACTCAAACTTTTTGAAGACCCATTAAACAAAATTGAAAGATGAAATGGTAATGCAAAACCCCAAGCTTTAAAAATGAGTAAATGAACAAAAAGTAAGAATCTTTTTTGAGCAAAAACACCCCAAAATTGTTAGTTTGGTGAAGAAAAAGAAATCAAGATCCAGTTATTAATGAAAACAAAAAGAGTTTGAGAAAAGAGAAACACAACAAGAGATAGCTAAGGTGTCAGCAGCTTAAGGAATTTCAAATAAAGAAGCCAAAAGGGAAAAAAAGAGAGAGATTTTACATTGCAACAAAAAGAGTGAGAAAATATAGGAGAAAGATTAGGGATAGATAAACACCCACATTATTAAATTAAGGAAAATGACTTAATTTGAAACTTTTAACCCCCCCCCCAGCACACCCCCACCCCACCCCACCCTTATTTATTTGTTTTTGTTTTTCTTCGAATATTCGTTATCTGCATTGGAATCGAGACTAATTCAAATTTATGTTAGACAGACTTATATGTGTCTTTTTTGTTTTTTTAATAGTAAAACAAAGACTAATTCAAATATTAGATAGACCTGAGGGTCATTTAGTAGTTGATTAGAGTTATCCAGATATTAATGATATAGGGATTAGTTACGAGTGAATTTATGGTTACTTAGTTATGCATCAATTAGTTATACATGTATTAGCTATTTAGTTGTCTATCATAGCATTAAATAATACATATAATTCTTTTAGTTATATCATATATCCGGATTTCTAAATTGTCAACCAAACGTCGTATTAATTTTATGCAGAATAACTTATTTTGCATTTACCGAGAAAACACCGTATGACTTATACGAAAATTAATAGATGAATAACTTATTTCTTATTAAATGACCTCTAAACGACTTTGGTCGGATAAAATTCTTTATTAATTTTTTTTTTTTCAAACTCGAAGCTAAAAAACAAAAATTTTCATTTAAAGAGAAAATAATTTTATTCATGACACCATATTCTTTGATGGTATTTTATATTTTCTCTATCTTTTCTTCCATTTTTTCTTCTTTCTTAAAAACAATATATATAGCAAAGGAAATCTTGAATTACTTTGCAAATAAAAGACAAAGAAAAATAGAGTTTTTAACATGTGGGGTTGTATAAATAAAGAATTATTTACTCTATTGGTTTCAAAATCATGTGACTTAGTAGTTCCTTTTTTATATATATTATTTATTAAAAGAAGGTCTTTCCAATTAATACTTTCAAATCATAAGCGAGTATATATTAATATATATTTATTGTATTAGAAATAAATGATATAAAATCCCCATTATATCTAACTAAATATAGAAATAACTTGCATAATATATAAACATGTTTTTTAGTTTTGAAATGTACGAGCAGATACTTAAATTTGTAATAAAATTGAATAAGCAAAAATGTGAATTTTACGTGTGATAATGCAGATATGACATCACGTAGGGCTCAAATTGTCATGTAAAACGTAATGTAGGAGACGTGTAGAGGCGGAGGTACACTATCTTCATCAAAAAATTACAATTTACACCTTAAATGGTTAAATAATACATTTTAAACGCTCTTAAGCACACTAAAGTCTCCTATCTCAACGATATCTTTGGATCAACGCGCGCTGCGTTTGTTTTTTTACATTTTCAAAAAGCTCCTAATTATGTTCTAATTATAGTTAATGAATCAATTATATTTTTAATAATTCAAACTAAATATTATCTATTAAAAATCTTGATTAGAGACCTAATCATGATTAATAAATATTTTTTTTCAACAATTCAAAACTCATATTATCTATTAAAATAATCTCAAATTAGAGACCTACAACTTTAAAATACAATAAAAAAAACAGTAAACATTAAATTTTGATCACTTTTTTAAAAAAATTTAAAAGTAATTATTTAATTTAAATTTAATTAGGAATTTTTTTATGCCGCTATTAAAAATGAAAAAGGCTCTATATAGAATTTCTTTTTTAGAAAAACTCGTTTGATTTTACTCTTTATTTTTCATATCTTGTTGTTAAGTCGCCATAGATTGGTGAAATCTTGAAGTATAAAAGTGATTTCATCATAAACGGAATTTTCTCTTTCTCTTTTTTTCTTTTTCGTCCACTTCCTATTTAATAAACATGAAAATTCAAGCTAAATCTTTCGTGGTTTGATTTTTAAAAAATTTAGTATATTTTTTCATTAAAAAATTTAATTGTTAATGTTACATAGTTCGATTTCAAAATCTTAGTGCACCCATACGTCAAATTATTTTTTTACCTATGCGATTCTTGAATACCCTTCGTGAAATTTCTGGCTATGCCACCTGAAGACATGTGTCTATTTATTCAACTTTATATGAGTTTAAGTTTCTATTTTAAGCACACCAAAAATTAAAAGACATAAATATAAACAAAAACCAAATTTAAAAAACATATTACACCTTAATTTTGCTGAATTTTTTAACAAGAGAAATATACATTAATGGAAAATCTTTTATTAGCTTCTTACAATCATAAATAAGAGAATTAAAATAAGAATTATTCAAAATATTCCCTTTAATATTTTAATGAACTAATTGATTTTTTTATACCAATTACCAAAAGGATATTCAATAAAATCTCCTCTAATATATATCACTAAGATCAATTTTTTTTAAAAATAATAATTAAATTTTTTATCTTAAATATTCCATAAGATTTTCAAGAAAGTAAATATGTGTCATAACCGTACAAGAAAAAAAAAAGTTAAAAATGTTTTTTTGATAAAAAAATACTATAATAAATTTTTATTAAAAAAAAATATAAAAATAATACCACATCAAACGGGACAATAAATTATTCACTTATGTATGGCCTATGGGGTTGATCATTAGGAAATGATTAATTAATTAACTAAAGAATTAGGAAGCAATTTGTAGGGTCCACATAACACAACAAAGAGAGCTTGATTATATTTATTTTTTTTACTTTATTCAATAATAGTTAACCCCTATACTAAAATAGTTATCCAACTATATTTATCTAATCTATAAAATCAAGCGATAATTTATTTTATCTTCACTATTAAATTTTATTTATCACTTAACACATTTTTCAAATTATTAAATTTAATAAAGTTAAAGGATAATATAGTAATATTATTTATGCATTGTTTCTCAAGAGGCGTATTTAGTCAATAAGGAACAACTATTGTTGGACAGCGAGTAGAGTATATATTATATTATAAGAAAGAGGATGTTTGCATTACACTATAAAAAAAAATTCCGCGCTTTAAGTTTTAACCTGAAAATCGGTAGATTAAATATAAATTTTACCCCTACTTCAGAGATAGAAAAATAATTTTGTTTGATCGACCTTTAGCTGTTCAAAAATAATAATAATTGAAATACAAAAAGTAACATATACTAGCAATCTACAACTACTAGTATTATATATAAACGACAACAATATAATGCACGATTACTTACCAAGTTCTTATCCTAATTCACTTTCATTACAACCTCCTATCTAAATTTATATCATCAGTAAACTCAAATTGTATCGTATCTTGTCTAATATTACTTTTCCCGAATATTTCTTCGATCTATCCCCTTTCTTGAAACAATCCATACTCAGCCTCTCACACATGTGCACTAGGGCATTTGGACATCTCCTCTCACATGTTTGAACCATCTCACTGTCACTTTCTCGAATTAATTCTTATTTTTTCGTAGATATCCTTAAATATGAAGTTGTGTTTGATTGTACTTTTTACGGGGGAAAAAAGAATATTTATTTAAAATTATGAAGATAAATTGGAAAATATATTCTAAGTTGTTTTCCTAATGTGGAATCCAAATCAAATTGAATTTGGAATTTTCTAAAGTCCAAAAATTGCTTCTTAAGCAAAGTGAAAAAATATTTTGAAAAAAAAAAGTAAATATAGCCCTAGCCAGATGTATATATAATGTACAAACTTGTCATATACGATGTCAAAATTAAAAGATTATCAAACTAAGAAACATGTATTAATTTTAAAAAAAAGATAAAAAAAAAAATTAAAATAGAAGGAATACTTATTAAGGAATATAAAATTTAGCCAATTTAAAGTTTCTAAAATATATATATATATATCTCACCAACCTATTCATGATATTGATATGTATAAAGACAACATGCATTTTTTTCAAGTAAAAAATTTAATATTCTTTTAATCATATCAAACAAAAAAAAAATTAGTTAAAAGATAAAAACATCACTTAATATTTCTATTTTTTTAAAATTAATTTAAATTAGAAGAAGTACCATATAAGGAATTTGAGTTAGAAGTTTGGTCAATTTTTTTTAAAAAAAATTCTTTAATAAAATTTCATAATATATCTCCCCACCCCACCCCCAAATTAGAGGAAACATAGCCAGAGAATAATTTAAAAGTACAATTTAAGTCAGTGACATTAATTAGTACTATTTATGCTTAGATTGTAAAGCCTAAAATTCTACAAAGTCTTTAATGCAAACAAGGGATTTGTACTCTCTGCAATTTTATTTTTATTTTTTTTTAAAAAAAATTATTTACTTAATTAATAATATATTTACAATTAAAGATGAATAAGAAATCGTTTTTCTTCTCCCTTCTTTATTCTTCTCATTATTTTATATAGTTTCATAACAATGTAGTTTATATATAGATTAGAAGAGTAAATGATAAATTAATCCAGATATTTATGTAAAGATTTTCTGTAAAGAAATTATTAAAGATAAAATAAATTAGGTAAAAGTACATATTTCTTATCTAATGTTGTAATATATTTTTTTCGCGATTTTTTCTTAATTCGTATATCATTTTGAAAAATATCAATAAAAATCTAAAATATCTTAAGTTATATATATGCATTTGATTGCAGTGTATATTTCATTTTTAAAAAAATATTCTAAGCACTTGACATGATTACTTGACATAATTCTGTCCCTGGTTAAGTGAGCTTTGTTTGAATAATAGCAAATTTATAAATTTATTGATATATTCGTACAGTTTAGCAGATTTCATTTAGATTTAAAAAACAAGATTATACAACGAGATAATAAGATTAAAAGAAATGAACGAAAAATGAAATAAATGAGATAATAAGGTGAAAAGGAATGAATTGGTTAAGCGAGCTTTGTTCGAATAATAACAAATTTATAAATTCATTGATATATTCGTACAGTCTAGCAGATTTCATTTAGAATTAAAAAACAAGATTATACAACGAGATAATAAGGTGAAAAGAAATGAACGAAAAATAAAATAACTGAGATAATAAGGTGAAAATCAATGAATAAAATATGAA